CCCCCCCCCATCATTCACCTCCTTTCCTTCCTTCCGATTCACTTCCTGTTCCTGTACCACTTCCCCATTCTTCCTCAATCATCCCCAATTATACCCCCACGAGTACTGGAATATTCAACCAACCCCTATTCATCATCACGTTTTACCCCATCGCTCTCCGCAATATCCACACATTCCCTCACAGTAATTTCAACAGTTAACTAGGAAGCTCATTGACACGGATACCGGGTGACTCTCGTGAAAAGGCGGCCCGATATCACGGGAGATTCTTTACGCATGTAAATTGCGTGTACTTCGATGTACGAATTATCCCTAGACACGTGCACGTGATCGAAATGGCACAGAGTGCCAAGAAACGTTCCTAGTCCAGATATAAATTCACCAGCGACTCGACGCAAATTCCCTAGGGGTCCCAAGACTCAACTTGCTGTCCTGTACTTGTCTTGAAATCGTTTGCCCTCTCTCTCTCTCTCTCTCTCTCTCTCTCTCTCTCTAATCCATTAATTTGCTGAACACCTACAAACTATCTTGGCGAGTGTCAGGTGTTCTCAAAGTTCGTAAATTCAACCTCCAGGGACAGCAGGTATGACTATGGGAAATATTGGTAGACGGAAAGACAAGCGGAGCATTGAGGATGAGTTTAGTGTCAAGGCCCAAAAACCTAAAAGCGGACCCAACGGTCAGGTAGAATTGGAAAGTCAGGGAAAATTTTGAGGAAACTAAATATGAACCATATAAAAATTTGTAAATAAATATGTAAAAATGTTCAGATCCAGCTTCAGACTTGCGTCCGATGAAAACTGCCCCGGAGGAAGCCTCAAAGATTTTCCCGGGCGGGGCTAATTTTTCCGCTCTAATTCACCCGCTCCTGCTTCTCTTCTCCAGTACCTCGGGGAACCATTGGATGAAAACGTTTCAAAGAGAAGGAGGGTTTGGCATTTTATGCAGATGGCGGTAATCAGGGCGAACGACGATATACAATAACGAGTTTTGTTTCGCCTGAACTTACTCGGCCAACGGTTATGGCGGCCGTCGTTCGCGGTTACGGCTCGAGGGGACTGAGACTTTACAGGATGAGAAAAAAAAATGTACACGAGAAACCTAAAGCGAGATTAAAAAAAATCGTAATATAGATACGCGTACTTATATGACGATCATATAGATATATACGTAGTAAAAGAGACACATAAACCATTAAAGAGGAATAAGGCTGCGCGTTATGCGATATCCTTCCTGCCTTTGGTATCGTACCGGTCGAGCCAGTGAAATTTCAACGTAACTAACGTAACGTGAGAGCGTAAGGTAAGACCCTGCGAATACCAGAATAGGGGTAGTAGGTAGGAGTGAGGGCACGGATAGAAAGATAAAGAGAGAGTGAGAGAGAGGGAGCGAGGCTAGCGTAGACAGACCCCGGCTAAAGCCACGCTTTGTTGGCTAAGGCTGCGAGCGATTACACCTAAGGGATTACAATGCGCCGGTGGAATCCGTCCGAAGCTTCTTCAAAGGCACCGACAAAAAATGCTACATTACGTATATCCCATGGAATAAATTAGAGGGATGAGAATTCATAGGGGTAAAAAAAAAATTGAATTTTTCATTATACCAGAAATTGCATATTCAGACGGCATTAAAAAAAACAGAGTGCACGTGTACGTCCCTGAAGGCGAGTATCGAACTCGGCTCGTCGCGTCTGTTTGCACTAGTTTTTATCGAGCGACATGCTTACGTTTGCTCGTAGAAAAAGCGTCGGGGAGAATGTTCTTGGTCTCCTTAGCGATTAGGCACTTACAGTGATGCTACGGGAAGAAGCGGATGCTGCGGTGTCGGTAGGTAGTGGGTAGCATTGTCGAGAAAGTTGCGAGAATGGGACGGGTGAGGAAGGGGGGGGGGAGTGAGGAGAGCGCGAAGGGGAAGAAGAGAGGGAACGAGGAAGAGAGAGACGGAGAGTAGTCAGCTGGAGTGGCCGCCATGTTGGAATAGTAGCTATTTATTATAAAGCTTGGAACGGCGCGAGACGTCCGGAAATAAAAGATCTTCTGCTGCCGACGGTCCTAATAACTTCCGGCCGAGGAAGTTCATTAATCCCGAGTTTTCATGAAACGACGAGAGATTGTCAAGGCAGCTTAAGCCACTGAGCCTCCGCACAAACTGTTTGAGCCGGCTGTGTGTACGTAAAGGCGGTTACGGACGGCGCTGTAAAGTTAGTTAAAGCGAGTATGTGAAAAAGTGGGCGACAAGGCCTCCTTTAAACGTCCCGAGGCTCATTAATATGGTACATGCAACATGAACATGGTATATGAACGCTGGTATATGGTACACGAGATGTGATACACGCAGCCGGGAAAGGACGTCGCTCAATTGTGGTAGGTAGTACGGACAACACCGAGACGCTCGCTAACGTGACAATTGACACGAACGTTCTTTTAACTTGCGTCAAATGGCGAAGTCCTGCCCATAAATAATTGAACGAATGCAGCCCGGGAGAAAGGAGAGCGGCGTCGCGTCGCGAAGGTACTTTCATTGAACTTGCCATGCAAAAAGAAAAACACCAGACAGCACGGTCAGGGTCGGCGACGTTCTGTCCGTTAAATTATTCGAATAAATTACGACACGTCACTTTCATCCTGGCTAATAATAAAATGCGAGTAAACCTATCCGGTCATCGATTGACGATCCTTCGTTTTACACAGAGGGTGACAGCGTGACGTATAGTCGTAAATTCTAACCTCCAACAATGCTTGGTTAAAACATGGCTTACCTTGTGTCGAGGATGTCAACGGCGCGTAGACCTATAGACGCGAAGGAATCCTCTGTCAATGGTAAAAAGCAGGAGAGAAAGAGAGCAAAGGACAGAAGTAATTTCTCAGTCCTTTTAGATTCTCCCTTGTGTTTCTCTCTCCCTCTCGTAACCGGCAGTGTTACTCAACGTGGCATCGCGCGGCCCCCGACGCTCGTCTAGTTTCACCCGCGAGCGTCCTTGCGCCACTGTCGTCTCACTTGTCAAAACTGGCGCATAAACACCGGGCTGCAATGTAGCAGCGACGCCAAGCAGCGAGACACGGTAACATCCGCAATCCGCGGAAGGACTGTCCGAACGGTGGGCGCTGCATTCACCCGCGCCCCACTTCAAGCCCCACGATCTGTGGAAGGTAGGCAAGAGTGGGGAGGGATTCCTCGGTTCGGTATACCTGGCTTAGGGGTTAGGTTAGCTCGCAGTCCCTCAGCCTTGTTCCCGTTAGGTTAGGCTTTTCATTGGGTTTCACTGTGTTCCTTGTAGTGCGCGCTCGAAGGGTGACTCCTGGTGGCGACGCTGTCGATGCCGGCAAACCTGCCTGCGCTGGGAAAACCTAGTGATGCTGCCGATGGCTCTGATCACGCTGATGGTGGGAGACGAGCGGGTAACCGACCACCCAGTCCAGGAGTGGTCGAGTCTGCGCGCTGCGATCCACGTCGTTACCCACTGGAATGCTGCGAACTGTGCGGGTTTCGATACGGGGGCCAGGCTTGCTTTGATTTCTTCAAAGAGAAGTCACCCCGCACTGTGGGAACCTTCTACCACTGTCAGACAGCATTTAAACCTTTGCGCCTGGGGAGGAATAAACTTCGAGCGTTGGTGTGTACGGGTGAGTCGATAGATTCCTACGTTATCGACGGCTCTTAATGACTATATCTATACAGAGTAAACATGAGAATATTAAAAGTTCAGAACCCTATCAGGATTACTCGTTAACGTTTTTAATATTGACTTCGATATTGTCAGATAAAAACTCTTTCTGGATCCAATCAACGGTCTCGAATTTACCGTCGTTTTCGAAAGAGTAAAATATATTTAGATTATCGATTCGAACGTAGACTCGAAAAATTTTAAACACAAACCCATTTTATAAAACTAAAAACAGTCCTAAAGTTTTTTTGTGTTTTGATACTGTTTTTTGAAAAATATTCTCATCGTTTGATAATACCTATAAGGCATGATGCTAAAGTGGCGTTTTGAACTGTCAACCAAGTGAAATAGTTACTTGACGCAACTATGTAATCCATTAATGGGCAGTAGCCTTTGTGTTGTGCACACATCGAATCCCCATTTGCCGACGAACTTCGAATAACTGATCCAGTTGGTTAATCCTTGGGACACGCTGCTCAACTATTCTACAGTTAGGACACCCGCAATAGGCTTATCTTATAGACGTACTTGGGAAATCCTCGACGTAGCATACGAAGACAAAGTAATTCCCAAGGACTGTCAATTTCGAAATGTGCGAGGAAAAAATGGTTAAACAAAAAACCTCATTGACTCATTCGTCTCTATTATTTTTATTTACCAAGTCAAAAAGGCGGTAGATTCAAATTTCAATTTCATAAATACCGTTAATCCATTCATTACCTACTGTACTGTCGTAAAAAAAAGCGCGTCACGCTCTGTTTGAAAGACGCGATATGATTATTGAAAAATATTTTTGAAATTTTCATCGCAACAATACCCCGGCGCGTGACATCCTCCAACAATGGATTTCACTCTTGCTCCCATTTTTTTACCTCACAAATAGTTTGACATTTATGAAGAAAAATGTCCCTGCTCATTCACCCAAGGCTTGCTACGTAAGATTTTCACGTAATTACCATGTATCTAATAAACCAAAATTGTGAAAAAGTTGTATGACAGAAAAAATTATCTCACGCCACAAGATGAGACGAGGTGACGTATAAATCTTAAAAACAAATGACGTAACGGTATTGCGTTAACAGTTAAGATTTACGCGAGTACAAATCGTATATATATAGCTCGGTGTAATTTGATTCTTAAATAAAATGTCGGTTCCCTTGAAAGCGTTATGGCCGACGGCGCTGGTTCTTATTTCGCGAAGAAAGGGCAGGAGCGAGGCGCCTCGACGGCGCGCGAATCCGCCGAGCATTAAGACCAGATTGAAAATTGAATTATTAACGAGAGACTCGACGCCTGGCATGTAAATCATATGGAAATATTACTTTTCTTGCGCGAAATACGTGACCCGCGTCGTAGACCCGATATGCATTTTTCTCGCTACTTTAAATTACGTCTAGTTTGCGCAACGGCCACCAGTACCTCGCACGCGTCGGACAGGTGGCGCCACGTTCGATTTCTCATTCGCCTACTCCTAGCCGTATGTCTTATTGTTAGCCTTACCCCTACGTTATAGCATATGTTTACAGCTAGTTTTACAGGACAGCCTCGCTTCCTCCAGCCTGGACCAGAGTTCAGCTATTCCCACTAGGCAATTTCTTGGACTGCCCTGTATAGACGCTCACGAATTCCAGGCGCAAACGTCTCCTCGATTACTCCTCGTGAATTCGAAAACACTCGACTTCCCAATTCAATTCTGTAAACTAGTTTTGTCTTCGATCGTGAGTCTGGTTCGAGTTTGTTTAAATTATTGGCGCATCCGGCCCGAATAGAAATTCTTGTCAGAAAGGTATTACATTTTCATACGAACTACAGTCTAATTGCGTCATAGATAATTCAAAAATTCATTACTTCCAGTGTTTTAATTACCGTCCGAATAATCAACTGGAAATTGGATCTTGATATAGTTTCCACGTTTGGCCGGCTGCAGTCATAGGAAATTTGGACACGCAAATTGCAGATGCAGTCACTTTGTACCTGGTGAATTTGGATTCGCGTAATATATCAGGATACCAAACAGTGCAATTATACGTCAGTTCGTTTTACTACGTGTTAACGCTTCGGTCTAGCTTTACTAATTTCAGGTACAGTCAAGTCAATTACACCAATGATAATGACAAGAGTAAGGACGATGGAAAAAATTAATTTACCTAATAATAATTTATTTTTTACCTTCCTCGAATAATCACCTTAGTTCGAATAATCGACCGTTTCTATAATTAAGTTTTTTTTTTTGTTGTTTCGGGAAAATATGAAAAGGGTATGATTTAACAAACAAAAATAAATGCAGGCTCGTTTGTTTTTCGGAATGATTGTAAAATGTTAATGAGTACGGTGGAGGAGCTAGGCGTCATTGAATTCATTGATCGCAACGAGGCGATTATGGCCTGTGTTTATTTCGCGATATACACTTTGTACACCACCCTGTGTTTTCAGGTGGGGGCGGAAAATCCGTAGCTACGCAGTATCTTTTAATCCGATGAACCGTGAGTTTAGGAAGGTGGCTGAACATTCCAGCACGTTTCCCGGTATACCGACTGATCTGATTTATGATAACGTCGCAGGGGATATCGATTTTCGACACAATAAGTCTTTTCTGGAATCCTAGTATTTCACTACTGAATTGCCCTTAAAAAATTTACTCAATAAATTTATGGGAATCGGTAGGTATATCAATAACCTTTACGAAACGATTATCAAAGCTAAAATGTTGTATAATAAATTTTCCAAAAAAAAAAACACCACAATACAAAATCCAAAATTGAATATAGAAAAGAATTGGAATTTCTCCTGAACTCGTCTATTCTCAAGAATCTATTCACCATAAATCCTAAGCCCCTAGTTTCCAATGAAATCCCAGAGGATTCCGTGGCAAGATTTCCTACGAAGTTCGACCTGGACCAAACCTTATCTATGGATTGACCCAAAGAACATCCTCGACCAAGAAAGAGACCGACGACCAAGAAATTATGAAACTAAAAAAATTGTCAATACAAATTTTTCGTTATTTACGATCGTAACACTCAAATTTAATAATCCCAAAATAGAAAACCCCGTAAAAACGAAATTACAAAAATCTAATTCCAGAGTTAATAGAAAGTCGAAAAAAGCATCTTTCTCTCTGAAAATAAAATTCCCGTCATCCCCTCGCAGTTTCAACAATTCACGACAAATGAAAGTCAGCCTTAAGTACCGCGTGGAATTTCTCACCTGGTAAGTACAGCCATTTCCTACCGCCTCACTGCTTCTGCAAGTACACACTCTAACCTCACTATACCAGGTATCCACTTCCGGTACCCACAACCGCCACCAGCGTCGCCACTGCTACCACCACACTTACCATCAGACCTAAACTTTTTGCCCAGACGTCATTTTCTTGCTGCCCAAAGTATCCAAGTGATAATTCCTGTACACCCGGTATACATTGCTACCATTGGCAATTCCGCCAAAGTCCCCAAAGAATACACTACCAAGTTACGAGAAATTGCATCAGCTCGCATTAACGCCATATAAAAGCCACCATCGTCTCTCCGACGCCCAGCGTCGGGAAGCGTCGCGTTCCCCGACTCAGGAGAAAAATAACGTCGATGAAAAAAAAAAAAAAAATCACCAATAAAAACGTAAATAAAAAAGCCCAAACGAGCTGACTCGATGATTCGAGAAAAATGAAGCAGCATTTTTATCAATGATCTAAATCAATGCCGATCAACAGATGATCGACGACGATCCTTCGATCTGCAACTTCAGTCCCATAAAAATTTCCGACCAAGATCTCCCAGCGGATATTGAAAACTCGGCATGTTGTCACATCAGCCAAATTCCAATAATGTTCGGATGAGAATTTCGCGAGAAGATTTTATCCCCCTATCCTTACCTCTTGCACTTTTCATTCCCACCCCCCCATTCACCCCCCACCATACACTCCCATCATACGCGATCCTACCAGACACCAACGTACGCACGACTGCTCGAATCGGAAATCGGGGCGAATCAAGCTAAATCGAAGAAGCAACTGTGACTGATGAGAAATTCATCCCCATCCCCCCCCCCCCCCCACAAA